CGTGTTAGAATGAGACGTTTTAGGAGGGCGTGGCTGACTCTGAACTTTTATAAAGAATATCTCTTTGGATTTGAGACTTTAGTCTTTGCAACTTTACAGATCTTCTTTATGCACCAAGAGCTTGTAACACTCCAAAGAGAAAGGAAAAATTGAAATCGCATCATATGACCCCTTTAACTCGTATTGAACCCGAAATGTTCCTTTTAGCATCCACTCTCTGACAATGTTGATGTGTAAATGTGTTCCTAATCCACTTACAGTAGCGTTTCCTCCTAACGCTCTCTCTGCTGTCCTCTCTGTGCTTTCTCAGGGAATGGAGCTAAACACAACAGCCAAAACAATTATCCAGGTCTCTGTTTTCAACACGTGTTCGTCTGTCCATTTCATTCTTCTGGTGTGCTTCTCATCCCACAGCTCTTCCTCCGTCTTCTGTTTCGCAAATGTCATTTCCTTATTATCTTTATAATCATTTTTTCCATCTGTTATGCTTTCATTTCTAAATCCTCCTGGTATTTTTCCTGCACTTTGAGACTAGAGCAAATGCATGTTTAGGCTTCACTCTCTCAGTTGTGTACTAACGGCAACATTTCTGGTTGAACATTGATTTCACATTTCATTTTCTTTGCCTGTAAAAAGCTTTTATTTCCGTTGAGGTCTTTTATGGGAATAGGGTTTCTGCTGGGTTCAGTGTCATACATATTGATTTTGTGCATTGTCTTGTGTGCTCTCTCGTTCTTTGGTTCTTCTAAAGGTATCAAAGCAGAAGAATGGGGCACCTTCCTTCACTGCAAAAACCAGGTAATTAAAGAGTTGGAGTTCTTGTTGAAGAAATGGGTCATTCAGAATACGTCATAGCTTGTTATGATGAGCCTGCACTCTATTGAGATGCGTTCTGTCTTTGCTCAGATTTTCACAGATTTCAGTGAAATCCGGAAAGAGATCGAGGAGGAAACGGATCGCAGTACCAATAATAAGGTGCAGTGGAAGTGCTTCATATAGTTTGACATACTCTCTCAGGCTTTGTTTTAATTGATCTCTTTTTCCTCCCCAGGGCATCAGTCCAGAGCCCATTTACCTGAAGATATATTCCCCTAACGTACTCAGTCTGACGTTAGTTGACTTGCCTGGCATCACTAAGGTAACCACAATGAATGGACATGTCCGTTTACCATGTAATGCAAACAAACCCATTTGCTTAAGGATAAAAAGCAGAATTTAAATCAAATGCTGTCAATTTAACATGTTATTTTAGTACTATAAAGTCTATAAAAATACAATTATAGCAATAAAATAAATACGAGTTTAAGAAACTAACTTCTCGGAGTAAATGACACCACATACAGTATGCTTGTGTAACTGATTTATTATTCTCACATAGCCAGATTTTGACTAGTTGTGTAAAGTCTGGTCCACATTCCAGCTTATTATGATCAAAAGACTGCCACTTATAGACAAGAAGAGCATCTAACTGATTAAAACGACCAACCACAGTTTTTACACGATGTTTAGAGACAATTAAATCTGAAATCAGACATTGATAGTGTGGTTAAAGTCCCCATGAAATCAAAATTAAAGTTTTTTTGGGTGTTAGTATCAACATGTTAGTCTTGAGGTTATCTATAAGGCAGTGTGCTCCAAAACGGTGACAAAATTCGCATTTAGAAGATATAAGCATTCAAAGCTTGCAGTTCGTCACTTCAGCCAATACGGCTTAACGATTTTTTTGACGTCACATCCTACTTCAGCTTTTCATCAAACTTTCTGTCCAATCAAATTCTCTCTAAAATCCGAAGCGCCCGCCCCCTACACTATAAAATAGACGCTGAAGCCGTGGCTGAAATCGGTCACTTGTCCACAGAATTAGTATTTTCTGTACAGTGAATGGCACGTAGTGCACTATATAGGGGACAAACTTCACTAGTCAAATCCAGTGTCTAGTTATTTCTAAATGAAATGCAATTAAAATCAGAGCTGAAACACACAGGATCCACTCCTAACACGAAGCGAGTATATCAAACGCTTTATAATGTGGAGACTGGCCAATTATTTCAAATATGTGACCCTGGAGCACAAAAGCAGTGTTAAGTCGCTGGGGTATATTTGTAGCAATAGCCAAAAATACATTGTATGGGTCAAAATGATCGATTTTTCTTTTATGCCAAAAATCATTAGGATATTAAGTAAAGATCATGTTCCATGAAGATATTTAGTAAATTTCCTACTGTAAATATATTCAAACTTAATTTTTGATTAGTAAAATGCATAGCTAAGTGTTGTAAAGTTTTTGTGTCCCTGAGCTGCACCCTCAAAGCAGTGCCACACCCCCCTTAGCCTGTTCAGTTCCCTGTTAGCCCAAGCTCCACCCACCCAATCTCAAGCCAATTAGAGCCATCTCACAGACTTTATTAGCTGCACCTGTGTCCACAGTCTACGCTTTGTTGCATGTGGTTGTACTGTGCAGAGGACTGAGTTTTACTCCTTTCATTCTGTCTTTCCTGCGTGTGCGTAATTGACATTGTAAGTACCTTCGTTTGATGCTTATATATTATTTTGTATGATTTAAGTTTGGCCTAAATGTGTTTGTTTCATGCTTGTTCTAGTTCCTGTTTAGGCATGTGCTTTAGGTATTTAATGTGCAGTTGATGGAACGTTGTGGTTGCCTTGTACCTTATTTAGCACTATTAATGGTAAACTAAAACTCTGTATATTTGTTCCCCTTGATAGAAACCACATGCACATCTACATGTACCAAAATTCCTTGGATGTACAATAAACTTTCATATACCTGGTTTGACTGGACTGGACCTGTTCTTACCGACAGCCCCACTGGCTTCAAGCTAGCTACCCAAACTGCTGCCAGTTCTCCTTAGACATCCTCCGTTTCACTAAAGACTTAATTTGGACAACTTTTAAAGGCGATTTTCTCAATATTTAGATTTTTTTGCACCCTCAGATTCCAGATATCTCGACTAAATATTGTCCTATCTTACCAAACCATACCCTTAAGACTGGTTTTGTGGTCCAGGGTCACATATATTCTAGCAGAGTATTCATTGTATTATTAACTCTTAAATTATTTATCACTACTTCAAGGAATAAGTAACTCAAAAATGAATGTTCTGTTGTCATTTACTCCTGATTTTATTATAAACTAGGATTAAATTTTTTATCTTTGGGACACAAAAGGAGATATTTAATAAATATCCGATTGGGTAAGTTTAGTAGCTAAAAAGGTCTGTTGTCTTTTATCAAAGAGCACACACAGAAGTCACTTTCAAAGTAAGCGTCTTTCTATTGTTCAACAGTGATTTCGTGTGAGGAATTTAAACCTGTTGGGAAATCTTTTGAGCTCATGCAAAATTCTTGATCGCATGGATTCCTATTGAGATGACAGGATTTTACACCCTCAAATTCTCTGAACAACGAACAATGTGTATGCACTGAATATAATTGAAATCCATTGCTTCTAGGGCTGCAACAACAAATCACTAAAGTCAATTTTTATCGGTAATGAAAGACAATTGACAATTGACGACAATTTCTTTTCAATTAATTGCGTCTGCCCATCTGCTGGTCATGTCAGTTTAGAGAAGTGAATAACATATTTCTATGGACAAAATGTATATGACATATAGAAGAGGACAAAGAGAGAGCTGCTGCTGGAAAAGTGCATGGCCCAAGTTGTCCTGTACGTAAGAACACTTTAGAGCATATTTGACAGATATGTGTGCTATTTAAAGCATTTGAGATGTGTTTTCATCAGTGCATAACTTACATTTCACAGTTGTATCCTTATCTGTAAATGTTAAAAAGTCATGCTATTATTTCCATTTTGCATAAAGGCTAGTCCTGAAAGCTAGCAGATCTCTGTAAACTTCACAGAAGTTTGAAAATATACAAAAATGTTTCAAAAATATCTATTTGTTACTGTATTTTCAACCAATATATTTTTTGGCCATTTTGTTTTGAAAATATAATATAATATAAATATCTTTATAGATTTTGCCCTATGTATTTAAGAAAAATAAAAATACATTCACGTCACATTTGAAGAAAAACTTCATTTCTTGTATATAAAGTGAACATTTAAGTAAAATCCAGCAAGAAACATATTTTACAATGTTCCACTAAAAAAATGCTATATTAATATAAAAAATTAAACGCTATTAGCATATTAAAAATATATTTTGGCCACAAAGATAAGTAACACTTTATTTTACGGTGTCTTTGTTACAGTATTTTAAAAATACAAAAAATATAGGAGTGCAATAATTCTGATTTAATACATTGTTAAAATATTTCTTGTCAGACATTTAAATGTAGGTTTAAAAATTTAGTTTTTCTGGTCTAGCCTTATAAAAAACAGAAATAAAAGTGTCACTTTATTGGCACATAATGTATAGCATAGCCTACTTAGATGCATTCAATGTATTTGTTTTCAGAGCCTTCAAATTGCACATTGTTTGGAAGACAACATTGGGCGTGATGTGGAATTACATTTTTAATAATGGGTTAAAATAATTTTTTATTGTATGTTAATAATTAGTGATATTATTTAGATTTTTTAAAGCCAAGAAATTGTTGCATTAAAGTTGCAGCCCTGATTGCTTCATTCACCCGCTCATTCTTCGTCACGTGATGTGATCTGTTTTGAGTAGGTCCCTGTTGGTGACCAGCCTGAAGATATCGAGACTCAAGTGCAAGAGATGATTCTGTCCTACATCTCCAACCCCAACTCCCTCATCCTGTGTGTCTCTCCTGCAAACTCTGACCTCGCCACATCGGATGCCCTTAAACTGGCACGAGAGGTGGACCCAGATGGTGAGCGACATGCAGGGAATGTCCAGATGTGATTATTACACATTGAGCAGCGCTGTGGTATTCATTGGCTGTGTGCGTTCAGGTCACAGGACGCTGCTGGTGGTGAGTAAGCTGGATCTGATGGACGCGGGGACAGATGCTCTGGAGGTGCTGCTGGGCCGGATCATACCCGTCAGACTGGGCATTATCGGTGTGGTTAACAGGTCAGCTACCCTATTACATCTTACCTTGTCTGAACTTTACATGTAACTTTTAAAATAACATTTTTGATCCAAAATTCAATCTCCAAAGCAGCAGACTGATATCTTAGTTGTTATTCACTGATAATCTCCCCTTTGTATAGGAATCCAGTCATAAAAATTGTATTTACTGTATAACGCGGAATGTCACAGAATTTGTCAAAGTTTGGATGAATTAATCAAAAGTTACACTTGAATCAAATTGCGATATGGACTAGTATCTGTAAATATTAAGCAGCCAAAAGACTATTTGAATATGAATCGTTCTTGTCAGTCCAGAACTGCCCTGAGAGTTTCTTCATGAGCATTTGACCTTTTCTTTTGAGAGAAACTATCGTCATATCATATACATGCAGAAATGTAAAGGTATTCACGGCAACCCGTCAAAAGTTTAACTTGAAGACATTACTATTGTTTAGTAGAATGTAAGTAATACTACTACTACTATTACTAAAAAAATTATTACAACTTTACTTTATTAAAGGTCCCATATTGTCAAAACTGAAATTTCCTGGCTTTTTTTCACGATAACAAAACAGTCAGTCCACAGTAAAATGCACACAGCCTGCATAAAGTAGCTGTGATTTTTCACGAACTGTTGTGACTTCCGTAAAAAGTTGACGTCAGAACTACACAGTCACCACCTTCAGTCACCACCCCGAGCACCGCCCACAGTCCCACCCTCCTTTTGCCAAACCCCCAGACAACATCGCGTCCCTGTATTTATGACAAAGAACAGAACTGCACAGATGCAGATATTATTATAACAATCTATCGATAAACACACACCTTGTCTTCTGTTTCTCGCTCTGCGCGTCAGCGGATTGAAAAAGAACGCGCTATAAGACGGGGAGGAGTCGATCGAAGTCTGCCGCCGTTTTCATATGAAATTTAAAGGGGACTGAGGCGATCACAAATTCGTGTACAGTTTATGGAGCTGCTTTATCAGGCGTTACAGGTGAGATGAAATTAAACTGAGACCAATCGGTCCAATCACTGCAGGGTTTGGAAAAATGAATCGTTAAACGAATCATTTGGGCATCGTTGAGCAAGTAAGGTAAAATTAAATGCATATTATAAGACAATGAAAGTGTTTTTTAAACTTGCATGCATGTCAACCTGTTGTTGGGACTCCCAAAACCAAAATATGAACTTTTCATTACCCATAATAAGGGGAACTTTAATAAATTAAGTTGTTTCTGTACATTCAAATAATTAGACATGCTTTAACAGACTTTGGTAACAATAAAACAGAAGGTGGAAAAACAAAACAAACAAAAAAAAACATTTCATAGGGCCCTAAATGTAATTTTTGTTCAACTTTGAATAAATTGATGTTAAATTATACGAGTTTCAGAATTTTAATTAAATAGACTTGCTTTTTGATAAATACAATGTTATTTAACCATAAAAAAAAAAGTCCAAAAAAATTAAAATAGAAAGAAACAGAATTTGGATTTCATAGGGTCCCACTTGTAGCATGGGGGTAGCTTGACATTTGAGCATGAGAGGGCCAAACCGAGAAAGTTGATTTGGTCAGTCACACTTTTAAACACATTTTAGCTGTATAGTAAACCTACAAACTGACACTTCGTGTACCTTATTCAAGTGATTTTACTGTGATAATAATACAGACTAGCAGCAAGCATTTGAGATTGTAACTGCAACCAGATGCATCACATGTGAATTACTTGTAAGGGCTCTTTCGCCACAATAAACTGAGCAAGAAGACTTTGAAAATAATGCAACTATCTCAAAGTAGACTTTTATAAGCAGATCAACTAACCCACTGCTTTAAAACATTTGCTGGGCAGGATTCAAATTAAATGCACAACGGAAGGCACACCAACACTTTATATTTAGTAAATCTTCCTGAAAATAGATTATTAAGCAGTTTATATTCTAAAATGTAAAAAAACGGGTTTTGTTCCGTGGCTATTATTCACTAAAATGCAGATTAGTCACGTGACAAATGTTAGTAAGTTTAATTTGATGTATTAATTTATTTACAAAATAACAATTTAACATGTATTAAAATATCTACATTATATGCGTGTTTACTTTTGAGTTGAAAACATTATTTTTTTTATAAATATGTAGTTTTTCAGCCCCCAATTTTCAATTTTATTTTCATATTATGATGCTTATGTTAATGCTGTAAAAGCGCATATGGAGAACTCCACATATCATGTACGTGTAGCCTACTTTTAAACTGTGAACTAAATATCCTCGAGAAATGTGAGTTTTAGTATTTTTTTTTAGTCCACTGTATTTTAATTCATTTAAGCCGTTTAATGTGATTTGAATGTATTATAAAATAACTACTGTTAATAATAATGTGTATAGAAAATTCAGATACAGAAACACTACTGTTCAAAAGGATTTACTGCAAAAATATATATTAATATTTACTAGTATTTAATAATTAGTCCTATTTTTGACAGTCTCTTATTCTCTTATTTTAGCTGGTGAAAATACTAGTGTTCTACTAATTTTGGCCACCACTGTATAAGTAATAAAAAGAACAGCATTTATTAAAAATTGACAATTTAAAAGTTGACTGTTACAATGTAATTTTTTTTCTGTCACTTTTGATCACGTGTCCTTGCTTAAAATGTACTTTAAAAATGTCCTACCTAAAAAAAAAGAAAAAAAAAAAAGATCCCAATTAAAAAAAGAAAAACCTCAGAACTTTGACAGTACTATGTTTTTGTTGTTTTCTGTGCGAAAATCATAGACGCCTCTAGCACTTTAGCAGCATGGGTGGTCATTTCACCTCGAAACTGCACCAATTTGGACCTGCAGCAACGTATTTCACATTTCGCAAAAGTGCAGTCTGTTTTTTTTTCTCATGAGGCTGAGTAGATCATTACAGAACTCAATTACATATGAAGTCCTAGAGGCAGAGCAGCAAAAACAGCCTGTTTAAGCATAAGGGTCAGCGAGAGGGCGGAAAATGACCATGTAAAACTACATCACAACATGCACATGAAACCTTGAATAACATTTTAAGTAGTGCTGGGTGGTATGACCAAAAATTGATATCACGATATTTTTCAAAATTATACCGGTTTCACGGTACATAACGGTATTTTTTTTTTCATGCATGACCGGGTGCTAACCATATTTTCTACTGATTGAGAGGAAATACTGCAGTATATTGACTTAGAATGCCCTATTTTACTGTCATGATGAGTGAATATTATCAAATAACACACTAAATAGTGACTAAACCCGACCCCTTTTAATACATGTTAACCAGGAGTCTCTCATTTATAATCGCTGCATCGTCTGATAAAATCAACATGCATCTACACTAAAGAGCGGCTATGCGGTTGTTTTGGCTATATTACTTTTTTGTCTCATGCAGCGCACTGCCTGCATCTGAGTAATAACCTACAAAAAAAAAAGTGCATGTGATGTTAACAGACGAACTACGCTCATATTTATAATTCCAAACAATCAGTAAGTGCGTTCGCGGGACAGCACTGGCGAAATCTTCCAACTGAACCATAGCTAAAGTTTATCCAAAAAAAGTTGCTAGGGTTGTCAGTTAGAATATTCTATGGAAAAAAAGCTGCTAAAAGGGTCTGAAAGTTGCTAAATCTAGTGCTAAAGTCACGCTCGTGTGTGTGTGTGAGAGACGCGGGAGCTGATGGCAGGGAGCGGTGGATATTTGTGGTGGTCAATGTGGATATTGAGGATGAGGTCTTCTGTGTCATCACGTTCTGTTAGTTCTACAGCTTCAGTTTCGGAACTTTCATGCTTAGTAACACATACAGCTGTTCCCTCACCACAGTGCAACAGTGAAAAGGGACCCCTTTCAAACAGTGTCGCGTTCTGAAAGTTGTTTAAGCGACATACCTCGGTATTGCGGTATTTAAAAAATTCATATCATAACAAAAATAAACACCGGTATTCGGTATGAACCGGTATACCGCCCAGCACTAATTTTAAGTGCACCTCAGGGGAAAAATAAAGTGCTACAGAAGCCCTTTTGACTGCAGTAGAAACTTAATCAACCATGTGAAAAAGCATTGCAACATTTTAACATTGTAATTGTGTTGCGTTTCCAGTTCCTCTATCATAACCCTAAGCAGCTGGGACTGTAATATTCCCTGCGCTGTTATGCTCTCCTCTCCCGCCCTGTCCATTAATGCACTAGCACCCAAGGGTACCGTGTCTTCCCGCTATCGGCTAACGCAGAGCCGTGTTTGAGATAAATCACTGGTTTATTCAGCTTTGGCTTTAGCATGTCCTTCAGGGCCTGTACGAATACAGGAGGCAATTTAGTTGGGGAGAAGAACTGCAGTGACACTTTTCATTCCTCGACTCTCGTTAAGTTAATTTAGACATAGTTGTGGGCCGTCGTCTCTTCAGTGTTATCCTACGCTCTCTTTGAGGATTCAACAGCGAGCAGTCAAACAGGAAAGCACTTGAAGATTTCCTAAGAGAGTGTTTATGGAAAGCAAGCACTGGCGACAAATAAAAGACGTTTTCGGTACAATGTATTGGTCAGTCATTTTCGTTTTATCTGTAGTGTTTGCTAAGGGAAGCATCAGTGTTACTGTTGCTCATACTTGAGGTCAGAGGTTCAAACTAATCCCTGACCTTAAATATTCAATTTAAGCATGCATCTAGACCAGCGGCGTTTGCATGATTCCTCAAATCATGTGTTATTGAAGAGAGATCTGACTTACTGGTGGATGAAACACGCATAACTCCGACTGAAAGAAGAACCTGTGCTGTATCTAGAGACCAGAATATCATAAATACTTAGTTACAGGGATCTATGCAGTATGAAAAAAGTCTGGATATTCTTGGATATGGAGAAATACATTTCTAGACTATTGCCTGTATCTTTTTTCTAAAATATAAAACTGAGCATTTCTTAAAAATAAATTCATATTTAAAAAAGCAGAGTCTTTTTCATGGCATTTGGAACAGTTTAACGATTATTTAGTGATAATTTAAAGGAACAGTTCACCCAAAAATGTAACCGCTGATAAATACATCGCAATAATCCACAAGTAATCCACATGTCTCCAGTCCATCAGTTAGCATCTTATAAAGTGAAAAGCTGCGTGTTTATAAGAAACAAATCCATAATTAAGATGTTTTTAATGATTAGTTGGTTTCAAGCTAAAATAAACTCTCTATCCATAATATTGCTTTTTCCATTGAATCAGGAGAGAAATATGCACAGATCAAGCACTGTCTACAAGCAAAAAACAGTCCAAAACAGTTCTGAACAAATATGTCCTTGAATTTTAATGTGAGGGGACAACAGGAGATGGACTTTTTCATTGGAGGAAGCATTATTATGGATAAAAACGACTTTATGAATTTGGAGTGGTATGGATTACTTGTGATGGTTTTATCAGCTGTTTGGACTCTCATTCTGACGGCACCCGTTCACTACAGAGCATCCACTGGTGAGCAAGTGATGTAATGCTAAATTTCTCAAAATCTGTTCTGATGAACAAACAAACTCATCTACATCTTGGAAGGCCAGAGAGTAAATATTCAGCAAATTTTTGTTTTTGAGTAAACTGTTCCTTTAATGAGTTCCAGGCACGTATTTTCATCACTCAAAACAGTTTTTCTTCAACTTTAATAAATGAATGAGTGCGAGTACCTCAAACCGACAACAGATACAGGGAGTGTGTGTATCTTTTAAATCAGTACTGTGCTGTTTGGTGATCATGCAACAACAAACCACGATTACAGTATCAAACTGATGTGTCAGAGGGGAATATATGCAGGTTATAAAGTGTTTTTGGTTTCTTCTTTACATGTAAGCACGTTATCACTTTGAGAAAGCTAATGTGTTCAGTGCACTGCAGATGACTGCCCTACTGATTACAGATGACTACTATATAATGCTGAAAATGATGTAAAATATTGTTATATGGGCAAATACTTTATGAGTGAGCTTACGGCCTGATAATCTTCATCATTAAATATGTAATATAACAAACATTATTATACTAGAGGGACATTATTTTGAATTTAAAGTATTTTAAATGTATGTAGTGAGTGCAAGTGTAAAAGTATACCAAATGTAATCCATAAAAGTAATAGTTTAGCATTGCAATTTTAATAAAATCCTGTGCATTGAACTTCTCTGGGTTTGGTGTAGAAACCCTGCAATAAGCAAACCCACTGAAACACCCTAGCAACCATTCACAACACGTTTTCTTTTAGAAAATGTAAAAATGTGTGTTTCATTCCTAGTTAGCATGTGCACAGTACTTGAGGCTTTGTTAACAGAAGCAAAGGTAGAAACTCAGTAGTGGGCAGTATACTAACAATTTTCAGTTTAGCTCTATCCTATAAGAATGCACTGCAGATTCATTTAGAAATTCTCAGTGACCATCATGAAAGAGCCGAAGACACTTTTGTCAAAGTCAAGCTCTTTTGTCGAAGAACAATTCACGCCTAATGATTTCAGCAATCTCTATATTTAAAGTCAACATGAAATCAATAGAAACTTGATTTTCTGTCTTACTGAGCCTTTCTTGGTCTTATTATAAATGACTCTGTGCACTTTTTTCCAAAGGAAAGAAAATGTAATAAATTGCTCTGTCTCTAAAATGATCTTTTTTTTGACCCCTCCAACCACCCTAAAAATCTTTTATAATAATAATAATGCATTTCATTTATATAGCGCTTTTCTGGGTACTCAAAGTGCTTTACATGAAGGGGGAGGGGGGGGGGGGGTCCCCCCAC